TGTCAAATTATGCGAGGCCTGAAACAGGAACGCCCTTTAAGTTGTAGCCTGTCCCTGTTGTGCATAGATCCTAAACTGGAACAAATCCGATTAAGTCCGGATTCGAAGCTCTACCTTCGGGGAACAGAAATGAAAGTATCTGCTTACGCGAACGACACATTGATAGTGATTAATGGCCGAGCAGAACCGCTGAGAGAGTCCATTAGCCTGTTAACTAATTTTCACAGCGTGTCTGGCCTAAAATTAGATGCACAAAAACGCGAGTCATGTGGATTGGAAGCAACCGGCGTACTCGTATGGCATATGTCCAGATCTAGGTCTTGCGTGGGAATTCGGTTCAGAGCAATATCTGGGCCTTAAAATCGGTTCAAACAGTGCAAAATTGGCCGCAATTAACTACGATGCCAAAATAGACCACCTGAGGGATAAACTCAACCCCTCTCTCTCTCTGGCTTTTTCGCGGGCTCACACCGTAGGGAAAGGCTCACGTCTTGAAGTCTGAGGTACTGTCGCAGATTATTTACGTCATGTCAGTTTTCGAAAAGCCAACATGGCAGCAAATAAAACAAATCAAATCGTTGATGCTTCATTTTGTCTGCGGCAAAGCAGATAAGATAAAACGATCTAAAGTTAAAAACGCTTGGCAGCACAGAGGGCTTCAGTTCCAGACTTGAGCGTTCAGGCGGACAGCAGAACATGGCGTGGGTAAGAAGAGTGCTCGACACGGAATGTAGAACCAAGTGGAAAGCTTTAGTGCAAACAAAATTATTTGTTGACAACGATGTCACAATTTTTCACTGCGGTGAGGACCTTACATGGTGCGCGAACTGTACAAAGACAAATTTCGGTTCGAGGCAGTAGCCGCCTGGTACAAAATAAGCTACGTAGAAAAATTCTCCGGTAGCGAGGTATTGCCAAAGCCACTTTGGTTTAATAAACATATGCACCTCGAAGGTAACAATAACTTTCAAAAACAGACCCTGATCAGACACGGTGTTGTAACAGTGGCTGACTTGTACGATCTTGAGCGACGAAGGATTAAAGAAGGAATTGAGCTACGACGCCAACATAACTCAGCTTTCTTCTATGGCATACACAATTATCAAAGCTGCTTGGAGATTGGAAAGCATAGCTCATACGAAACAGACCACAAACATCAAAGCTGCCGGTTTGTTTTGAGCAGATTATTAAGACACCCAGAAGCGCGAAGTGGTCTTCGGTATCCTGCTAAAACGGACTAAGTGGACTTATCCTGAGAAGGCGTAGAGAAAGTGGGGAAGAGAGCAAACTCTCCCAGAGGCGTTTAACTGGAGCCAAATGTTTTCATTCCTATACAAAAACACATAGTATTTTGCACCGCATGCCGCCAACGAACAGACGCCTTGCTTTGTACGAAAACACGGCTCAGACGCATGTGAGTAATGTCCAGAACGTTGCGAGACCTTTTCACACATATGTTGGCACTGTCCTGAGGCTAGAAGGTTTTGGGTTGACCTACAGCGCGCCTTGCAAATTCGGCTTACCACGCAGTCCGTGATCCTGGGTCACCACGAGGATAATCACTCCCTGCACTCCGGAGCGATGTTTGTGAGCATTATTTTAGGCAAATCATACATATGGCTTGGTAGGAGCTCTGGCTCTCGCACAGAACTGCAGTGCTTTGTTAAGTCCGCACTACACAGAGTTACATCAGAGTTGAAAAATACATATCTACCGTCACAAACGAGATGAACATATTTTGCGACAAGTGGACTCGCTTGACTGAGCTGAACAGTGAGAGGCCGCCTTAAACTGTCCAGCGTCTCATGAGGCGCACGGCATGACAACGGACTGGCTGCCGCTATTTCACTCGCATTGGCCGTCAAATGCCCCTGGACATCTTGGTGACGAAATTATCTGCTTCTTGTCGGCTCGTGGAGAGGCAGAGTAGCTGACCGTCGTGGGGAATGGGAGGGTAGGAGAGTAGGCTGGGAGTTAGGGTGTGGTGTGTGTGGGAGAGGGGTGCATGAAAGGAGATGGGTCGTCAGTTGGATTAAATGTGCTGCTATTGTGGTGTTAGTTTGATGTTAATCGTGTTGTAGTCGGATGTGACGTGTTATATTGGCTGTCCATGGGCCGTAAATGTGCCGAAGTTGAATGCTTGTCCGCATGGCTAAAACTAAAATATAATAAACTTCGAAAAAGAAAAACTCGCGCCGGATGCGGGACCTCGTTCGTCTCGAGATGCGCACCCGTCGGCACGGTCTCTCACTGGTGCGATGTGCTGACGATATGTCATAGCCTACCCCGGTAGAGGGAGTAAGTTGATCCTTACTTGCTCCTTGCTTACTCTTACTTCTCTTTTGATAATAGCGTAGCTATCTACAGTTTATTCGCAGCTAAGAACAGATAGCGCAGTCTTCAGCTATGTCGGTAGCGAACAGCAATGAAATAGCAATTATATTATGGGCGTGCACTGTGCGTTACGATTTCTATGAACACAACACCGGATTTGAAAACCGAGTTTAGGCGCCTTGGGCATTTCCGATCCATATCAGTCTATGAAACTAATTGATTCCTACCTGGGAAGCATGCGGCCTCAGGACTGCTACCTCTGACTCGTTTGCATGCAAATTGTAAAAGAAAAGAGTAAGTAGGTATAATCATATCAAAAATCCTCTGAGGTTTCATCCTCTTGGAAAAATCCTCTTTAAGTCCCCTTAGGCTTCAGTACGTGCTGTTTCTTAGAGCTCAATTCTGGCACCTTAGACTGCAATGTAGTACAAAGCAGCTGTGCGTAACAGACTAAACGCAGATGCAAGCCATGGCAGCAGGTATGTCAGAGGGGTGGAGTCATTGATAACAGGCCCATTTGTTCAACAGTGTGGTTGTGAAGCTTGACCGGAGTCGAAGGGAGCTGAAGAGTCTGCCATACAGTCGGTTCTGTTCGCGTATCAGGCGAATGAGTGATAAGTATTCGTTAAAGTCAGCAAAGTCATCATCGTTTTAAGGTTTCCAACCAAACCTTGGATAAATTCGATATACTTCTGGGGTCCGCGCCTACGCAGTGTTGCTTGACGCGTGAGCCCTGACGTCACCATGCCATCGGCCAACTCCGAGGCAACGGTAGAATTTGTGGCGAAAGCGTATCTTGCCGCAACGCCTGGCACTACTACTCTTCTCGTGAAGGTAAGGCGCTCTAACGTCACCTGACCTTAACCGCACCGGCTGCTACTGGCCGCAGTCCATGCCAGCCAAGACCAAATACAGTTTTGTATAGTGTGACTCAGCTCACATCGTTTCGTCTTAGGTGTCCCAAAATCGCTCTAACATTTCAAAAACAGCAAACAAACAAAGCCGCGCGTCTCATCGTCAAATACTATGTTTGTCCGTTCGCTAGCTTCTTGCTGTGCTCTGCGCTCCGCTGCTAGTTCGCCATATTTTCCCGGAAACGATCACAACGGGTTCGTCATCTCCCCCCCCCCCCCCCCCGATACGCCCGATGTCCATCTGGAAACAATCACAAATGCCGTCAGCCGCTCGACTGGACCCAAGCGGTCGGCTGCGCGCGCAGTTTGGGTCAGGCCATCAGTTAGGTCTTCCAGGGATCGGCCACTTGCAAGGTTGGACACATGACACGCACATGACACGACACATGACACACGCACACACACACATACACACACACACACACACACACACACACACACACACACACACACACACACACACACACACACACACACACACACACACACACATACACACACACACACACACACACACACACACACACACACACACACACACACACACACACACACACACACACACACACACACACACAAACACACACACATGACATGATTTAATGTCAAAATTGTGTTTAGCTGGTCGGACGACATACTGGTTTTGATCAAACCACTTGGGGCCTGGGGTCATCTTCCCAAATTTGCCCCAAATGGGATTTTTCCCCACCCATTGTTTACGGCGAATGCACGTTGTTTACGTTTCAACATTCATTATGTCATTTTTAGGCCACGCTTTCCACCAGATTTCAATTTGACCCCTCCATCCTGCTTTATCCCCAGATTTAGAGGCGTGGTCACACTCTTGTATATATCGACGTTTGTTTGCAATGACTTTGGATGTCCCATCCCCTTTCCCAACTCGCATACTGATAAGCCAGCACTGAGAGCAGCGCACAATGCCCGCTCCTCTCCCTGCAACCCGCAGACGGATAACAACGGCCAATCGCAGAAATAACAATTACAGCCATATCTGTTGCCGGTGGTGCTACATTGTGCACCCGCCTCCTCGCACCTCTAAACATTGGACGCATTGGGCCGGAGTGTGTCTGGCGTGGACAGCCCGAATGCCTCTTGACGGCGAATGAAGAGTCTCCAGAGTCAATGCGTTTAGGCGCACAGAGTTTATTGTAAACGCAGAGTCATTTGGGTCACCGAGAACAGGCCCTCGGTGAGAGCAGATTCATTTAGGTACCAAATGGGCTTTGTCGGGTTTCGACTCCGTTGATATAAAACAAAAACAAATAATGGAAATAATATGATAATTTCCTGGAAGGTAGGAAGGTAGGATGGCTAAGGTAGGATGAAAAGTAGAACAAGATGATACATGAGCTACTCAAAATGACCGTCAGATCTTTAAAAGCAATAGCAGTTCGTGCAAACCAATAAGCAGCCCTTTTTTCAATTTGCAACCCGAAAGCCGAACGAATCGGTCAGCTTACGTTTATCCGAGTGGCGGCGCTACTGTTGCCTTTGTTGATGGAAGCGGCAAATTTTAGAGTGGCTGAGGCCGCACCAAGCTGTTTTTAAAGAAAGATTTTCAGCACCACGGCTGTTTTTTCACTTGCCCCGTAAGAGTTGGGCTTAAGAGTTAAGGGCTTACTGGCTGACGTTAACAGTTTTAAAGTTTATACAGTGCAGCCTCAAACTGCCAGACGTTTGACAATGTTTGCCTAGCGTTGAACTCTACGCTTTACACGCCAGACACGCTGCTGCAGTACAGGGTGTATTTTCATGAGCAGCTGGTGCCAAGCACGAACCACGCACTGTCCCCGAAGGCTTCCAGCATTGGCAAGACATCCATGAGGCATTGACTACGAAGGAGCTCGAATCAGTCCCGTTTCGTGGGGTCTGCAGTCTCGGTGACAGGTGAAGTAATACAAAATCAGGTCAGGTCCAACTGCACGCTGACACCAGACTAGCCTCGTATTTCGTTGGTCAACGAGGGACATCAGTAATGTCCGCGCGAAAGATAACTGCTTCGGCCGAACTGCCGCACACCTTTGAAGCAGGACAGTGGGCCCCTGGAGGTCATGCGGGGAACAAAACTACGCTTATGTAACCTGATGCTCTGCCTGACTTCATTTCAGATTCCGAGAAGATAACCGTAAGCTGCAGTTTCGCAAGAATGCGATCATGCATATCCCATGATTTCGGCGACGTATCGCAAAATAGCACTTCATGTCTAACAAAACCACAATTCATAAGTCATCAGCTATCAACTGACACCCATGTAAAACAAGCCAAACGCAACATAGGAAACCGCTCCATACGTCAGTGCTTCAAAGCAAAAACAAAAGCATCACAGCTCATGTGCCACATCACCTAAACAGCAGGCACCCCCACATCCCAATAAGCGTCACGCCAATCAGCTGATCTGACTCTCCACGCCCTTTCCTTCCAGCGCACAGCCGTGCCCCGCACACGCCCGCGCCTGCCACTATGTCCTCTCCTCCGGCTGCTGAGGCGCGCCAACGTCCATGCCCAGGAGACCGTACACCCGGCGCCAGATGGCCATCCGCTGGCGCTGGCCGTCGCGGAGGAGGTCCGTGTACCCGATCTCCGCCATGCCGAGGCGGGAACACATCCAGTCGGAAGAGTCTATCAGCCGGTAGCCCTTGACCCGGTCGGTGATCTCGTGCTGCTGCCCTTGCAGCTCGCTGCCCTTAGCCTCGGAGGCCACGCAGCGCTGCTTGTAGTGCAGGCAGCGCGCCACGAGCGCCTCCGTGCGCGCCAGAAACGTCGCGATTGGCACGGCGGCGATCTGCTGGGCCAGGCGCTGCCGGAAGTGGCGGTACAGAATCATGTCCAGCTCCAGGAACTCCTCCAGCGCCGCCCGGTCGGCGCGACTCATCGGGGTTCGCAGCGCGTCGAAGCGCGCGTTCTTGGTGAGGTAGATGACGTCATCAGTCGACCAGCACATCAACTGACGCAGCAGCACCAGCGACTCGTCCATCATCTCGGCTATCATCACAAGGTCGAAGGCCTTGTCGAGGTCGTCGAGCATGGCCTGCACGAGGCGCGGTTCGCTGACGATGGCTGGGTCGTATCCGAGGTCAAAGGCCATCTGGCTGCCGCCGAAGCGCCTGTGGCGGGGGCGCGTAGGTCAACAAGGTTGGCGGTGGCAGGGTCACGTGGCGAGCAGCACGCATGTCGAGAGGGGCGATGACGGTCACAATGTGTAGACGAAACAAACAAAGAATATACAAGGAAAGAAATAATACTTAACCACTTGCATTATCTCCTACCGTAGATCACGTTGCATTGCGTTTGTAACAGAGGGTGTCCTTTTACTAAGCATAACGTCAGGGCCAGCGTTTCCTGTCATGATAACTGCGTCTCATCTGTTTTTGGAACGAGTAGTGCCGCAGCTGGGATTGGGCCAAGGCTCCACGGACCAAACATGGCAGCAGCATGGGCCTGCCGGTGCTATTCTAGTTCCCACCTCCTCGATGTGCTGCCAGGACAGGAAACAGGACCCTGCCGCTCAAAACAGCGAAAAAAAGAACGGAACCTCTTTTTACCTCCCTCCGCTTCAGATTCATTTCCCGAGCAATTTTCTAATGCTGGGCTCAGGCTAGGGCTCATTGAAAACAAGAACAACCGGTGCTGGGCCTACCCCAATCCCGAACTGCCCTCGTGCCCTCTCACCCATGGCCGATCCTCGCCAGAGCCTGCTTCCTCTCCAGCGGCAGAGCGATGAATTGTCTCAGCGTCATATTCCAGTGTTGCGGAATCGCGAAGTGGTAGTAGTCGAAGGCCGACTCGAACTGTGCCACGGGATCGCGCAGGATCGTGACCCACGCAGCGTGATCTTGCATCACGCGGCGCGTCTCGGCCACGTGCAGCCGCGTGTGGTGCGCGAACACGTCAAACTTGCCAGAGCGGGGCCAAAGCCAATCCGGAATGAATAGCCTGTTGAACGGCGTCTGCAGGCACAGAGGTCATGGGTCAGTTGGGTCGCATGGGCCAATAAGGTCACAGGGCTAGATGGCCAGGTGGATCAAGGTGGTCCCAGGTCAGATAGGTCACAGGTGTCACGAGTCAGCCAGGAGTCACGGGTCAGATGGGTCACAGGGGTCACGGATCAGATGGGTCACAGAGATCCCAGGTTGGATTGGTCACAAGACCTAGGGTCAGTTGGGTCGCGTAGGTGACGGGCCATTTGACCTGTGATCCGTGATATCCGTGACGCTAGCACGTTCGTAGTAGCTATACAGCTTGTGCAAGTGACATCACCAGTGATGGAACTGTAACATAATGGCTCCTCGGGGTAACGACAACGAAGTGGTTAAGTCGTACATCTGGGAAACCAGAGGCAAGGAGTTCGATTCCCTGAGATGTTTGCCATTCCTGCTAGGGTGAGACGCGGGCAAGAGCACGTCGTGAAGCAAAAATCCCACATGATGGCTGCTCATGTCAACCACGTCGCTTGTTGAGATTTGCCCCCATGTCCGAGCCTGACTACCTTACTACTCGACTACTGGGTACTGGGTTCTTGACTACTGGGTATCCTCGTTTCTGCATACATTTGCTGTTAGCTGAAATTTTGTAAAATGCGCTTGTACTGAGCTCGTTTATTTCGGCTTATCAAATATATATCAATGTGTGGTGTTCTCAGACCGTGGCAGAAGTCTTATGTTCCGAGGTCCACACCGCTACTTCGCACCGATACAATGATATACCGCCGTGACCGCGTCCCATGTGACTGGAGGGTGGTGTTTAACTCCGCCAATATTGACAACAAGTGGGCGACACTTCCTCAAACGTGCCAGCGGGGCCTGACCGACACGCCCTCTTTACCGGCATAGAGATCCGAAACAGATGAGTGCCACCTATCTCCGAAACACCACGTGCTCTCACCGCTGGCTGAGCCGCGGCTCGGAGATCGGACAGACTTGACTCAGACCCGTGTTACAGCCGAGGCTCAGAACCGTGTAACAGCCGGGCTCAGACCCGTGTCACGGCTGGGCGCAGACCTGTGCTACAGCTGGGGCACAGATCCGTGTCACAACCGGGCTCAGATCAATGTCACAACTGTGCTCAGGTCCGTGTTACAACCGGGGCTCAGACCCCTGTCACAGCTGGGGCTCAGATCCGTGTCGCAACTGGGCTCAGGTCCGTGTTACAACCGAGTATCAGACCCGTGTCACAGCTGGGGCTCAGACCCGTGTCACAGCCGGGGCTCAGACCCTTGTCATAGCTGGGGCTCAAATCCGTGTCACAACTGGGCTCATACCCGTGTTACAACCGGGTATCAGACCCGTGTCACAGCTCGGGCACAGATCCGTGTCACAACCGGGGCTCAGACCCGTGTCACAGCTGGGGCTCGGACCCGTGTCAGAGCCCGGCTCAGACCCGTGTCACAACCGAGGGTCAGAGCCGCGTCACGACGCAAGTGTTACCCACAGATCGGGATCTACGATCTGGCGCGTCACAAACATGGCATCGCCGATAAAGCTGATAAGCATAAAGCAGGCTCTGTGTGTGCCGCTGTGCCGCACATCATGCAGGCATCGTGCATCATAAACTACATAGCACGCATAACCACAGCGAGGTGTCGTCTGTAGGGCCGGGTGTTCTCAGAGCGGGATTGCCAATGCCGGGCAGAGATTACTTTACGAGGTTTTCGGGCGTCGCGACGCTCGACGCGGCTGGCCTCCGTAGCCTTGACATGCAGCCTTCAATATGGTGCTTCGAATGTTCGCAGCGTTCAAAGCACCGTGTTTATCTGAATGAGCCCTTCGTCTGCGTCGATGACGGGCTGTGCATAAGCCCTTTTGATGTGTATTTTAGCTGCAATGTTCACACATTTTTGTACATGGTACGCACCTAACGGACGCAGCACGAAGCGTCTGTACTATAGAAAAATACAACTGAAGTATTTATTTTGAGGTCCGGTTAAGCTCTCAACCCCCAAATTATGTGCAATCTCTATCCTTTCTGTCATTACAAGGCAGTTCAGAAGATTCTAAAAACCAAGTCTACCTCTAATTGTCTTTTAACCATCGCCTTCTTCTCAAACTAAATGGTTTCGGTGCCTCCAATCCATCGAAAATCTCTCTTCAAGATATCAGACCGAAATGTACCGGCCGTGAATGAGGTAAAACTTTCTTTCCTTAATTTATTGACTTAAGTAAACGCTCTGGTGGGGCTGACCACTCCAGATAAGTCACAGCATGACAGTTTGACAGCATCATCATCAGCTAGTCAGAACACTACCTCTCAGCATGTAGAGGGTCATGTTCACAAACTCATCAAGTATCCGACAGGTTTGCACCCTCCGACAGATTAACCGGGATCTTCCGCAGAGCTCCTCTCTGGTATGGCTGTCTGGCGAGGCGGGCGACATTCCGCAGTTCTCTGGCATGGCTGTCTGGCGAGGCGGGCGACATTCCGCAGTTCTCTGGCATGGTTGTCTGGCGAGGCGGACGACATCCGCAGTTCTCTGGCATCGCTGTCCGGCGAGGCGGACGACATTCTGCAGTCCTCTGGTATGGCACTCTGGCGAGGCAGACGACGCTTCACATCTGCTCGCTGGTGGAGCGGGTCGGCATCTGAAGCTATTCTGCTGACCGCAAGAGCGCCGGGCTCCAGAATGAATATTTCGCTGGCGTTGTCGATCGGCTCATTTTGGCAGACGTAGGCATTCGCGTGGATCTACACGGCTTGTGCCACCCCTTCGAAACGCGTGCAGGCAACTAGGATCAGGTGGTAGGAGATGGTGGTATGAGTCTCCAAGAGGCAGGAGACAGTGGGTAATCACATTCAGGGCGGTGCCGTGAGCCTGGATCAAAGCAATGCCAGGTCAGCTGAAGTGTGGTCCTCCATTCCGGAGATGCAAGCAGCCGTGGAGCAACTGCAAGTAAAATGTCAGCTGACAAGGTCAACGGACTTAGCTGCCGCAGTTTCAAACTTCTGCCTTATGCGGAGCGTTATGAGTCGGGTTATCTTACTCTGAGAATAGCCCATCTTCAGTATACTGGGGGATGCCGATTAAGCGACGTTTTCAGAGAAGCACTGGCTAAAGCTAAGAGCCGCGATCAGCGGCTGCAAAGAAGAACCCTTGTGAAGTGTGTGCTTGTGCGGCCAAAACAGTAGTTGCGCGGTTACGCCTTGCCCTGACCATACTCACTCCAGTGTACTGAGAGGAATGTGTGAGGTCCGTGAAAATGAAGTGATCCCCTACGCACACCTTTGATGACCTATGAGCTGTAGGGCATGCGATAACTTCGGCTGACAAACACGACGACCTGGCACTGCGTCGCGCGTCCATTTGATCCACGGCACAAACGGCAGAGTGTCGGGGTGATGCTGAGTCGAGGCATGACGCACGGGTGATTTACCATAGCCATGGTTTGCTGGCGCTATTTGTTATCCACTAGCCGTTATGGTGCACTACCATGCTGTGTTACTTGAGCCACAGGATAAACGTAAGACGCCGCTGTCCCAACTTGTGACGATATCATCTGTGTCGAGTTAACCCCTAACCGTGCACGCTCTCACACCGTCACTCGTCACCCGCCACCTGCACAGCAATCACTTCTGGTAGGTGAGGTAAATGTATTGCTTACAGTTGGAACACATCAAGAAACTGATCATCATGTTTCAAACACAAGACTACCTCGACACGGACCGAGCTAACGACTGGGCCAAAAAGCGCAACACATGGCACGGACTCCATTCCAATTATTCCTGTCTCTCAGCTGATCCATGTTCTGCATCTGGATGCTGGCATGTGCCTTAAACTTACTAAAACGGCCTTAACACCAACGAAAACCCTAACAAGGGTTGTGGCCAAAGCGAGCGCGATAATCATCCAAGGAAATCCGTACGTATCCACAACAATGCCCCCGAAAGGCGACCAACTGCTATTCCCAATGGCAAACTAATTTGGCCTCCAATAAATATGGGCTCGATCGTCATCCCTAGACCTGTAGCCCACCAGCCAGGGTCCAAGCCAAATGACGAAGAAGGAGCCACTAACAAGATTGCTAGGCTGGCGACAAGGAGGCATGGCGACATCACCTTGTAACGATTTTGCACAAGCTCAGCCAGCGATCCCCAGAAAAAGTTCATACCGGCATATAGCGTAGTGCTGACGATGTAGAAGAGACCAACCTGTGACGAGGAAACACCGAGCACATCATTGGCGTAAGGAACGAGGGTTGAATCCACTGTGCTCACATTTCCAGCATACACAAACACGATCATCATACACACCCAGTTGCCCGCCGATCCGGCCAGCAGCCGCAGAGACCCCAGCAAATGTGTCTGAGATCCACTGTTGGTCTGCTCGATGGTCGGCATCAGGCGCTGGTTGATGGCAGCCATCAGCAGCATGATGACGTCAAGCCTGTAGAAGGGGATGCCGAAGGCACCGAGGGCGAACAAGCCACCCCAAATGGCCGGCGTCAAGGCTAAGCCGATGGTCAGAGCTGAGTTCAGGAGCGCCACGATCCTGTTCACCTTGTCGCAGAATAGGCTGTCGACGACGGTAAAGCTACAGATGGTAATGGCTGCCGAACCCACCACCTCCAACAGCCTCACCAAGAAGCAGGCCGCCACAAAGGTAGATGTGTCCGCGATGTTGTTGAGCGTGCCAAAGACGATGGTGGCAAGACCGGAAGCTGCGACGTCAAAGTTGTAGAGCCAGTTGATTTCCAGCAATGGCGCCAGCCGCTCAGGGTCGCTTTCGCCAGCGCGAAGACGGTGAACAGGGAGCTGATGACTGAGACTTTGAGACTTTGAGACATGCCTCTCGACACGTCTTCTACAGGGAAGAACAAGATCATGAAGACTCCAGTGAGCCGTTCAGGATCCTCACCATCACCAGGCAGGCCAGCAATTTCTTCTGAGCAGCTGTCATACGATCGTCCCTTGCCACATGTTGATTAATACTGACTCCGTGGTTGCCGTCAGATGGCGCATCTGTGTCTTCTGCATGTTAGATTGACTCGTACTCGGATAGCTGTCAGATTCCGAGACCAATCTGGGGTTCGGTGTAAATAACATATCTGCCTCCATGTTGCCTAGCCTCTTACTTGCAGGCAGTTGTGTGATCCCGTTGCAAGCCATTGCACGATATAATCAGTGCAGAAGAGCGCTCAGCGCCGCACACACGGTGCCCGCACTGACGCTTCCTGATGACCTACCGTCAACCCTGGTAACATCACCGCTCCGCTCGACGACCCACGTCCGTCCGGCCGTCGTCCTCTCGCCCGTCTGCGGATTTGGTGAGATAGCCGCACTTTGTCCGATCCGCACTCGCGCGGCGTTTTCAGCGCCCGTAGCAGGATCCTGGAGACCCTGGTGCGCACGAGCCATTGGCGGACCTCGGACTACACAGGTGTGTCTCATTTGACCAATCGGGAAGCTGATCTGTGCGGTGAAGTTCATCACCGGAGCTGGGTGCACTCACGCCAAACGGGTGCTTCATAACCATGGCAGTCCGGAGTTTGCGCTGGTTTTTGAATGCTTGTGCTTAGGTAGCTTGCAGCACACAAATTTTCAATGCTGACCGCGTTTCGACTCACGAAACTTCACATGATGCGACAAAGATGAAGCCCCCGTTGCTGCTGAGCATTAATAGCTCGTTGTCCTGTCACGTCTCTGATCCAGCATTGTGGAAATCGCTTTGATGCCAATCAACAGCCCAACAGATGCCGTCACAAAAGCCAGCACGGTTATCATCCAAGGAAAACCGTAGGCATCCACCATAATGCCTCCGGAAATCGGTCCAATTGCTATGCCCATGGAAAACACCATTTGGTACACTCCGGCAACAAAGGATTGTGTACCCAAGCCGAATTCGAGCCCGTTCTGGACGCTACAGTCAAGCATGAGCTTAAAACATGGGGTTATGGCACCACCAATAAACATTTCTTCAATGGTCATACCCAGACCTGTTATCCACCAAGCCGGCTCTAAGCCCAATAACGGAGAAGGAGCCACCAACAAAATTCCAAAGCTCGCAACAAGGAGGCATGGTGACATCATCTTGTAACGGTTCCACATTTGCTCAGCCAGCCATCCCCAGAGAAAGTTAATGATGGCGTACATCGTGGTGCTAGCTAAGTAGAACAAACCTACCGTCGACGGCGAGACGCCGAGCACATCATTGGCGTATGGAGCGATGGCCGAACTAACGGTGCTCACGTCTGCAGAAAATATCAGTACGGTCGCCATGCAGATCCAGTTTCCGGTGGATCCAATAAACACCCGGAAATTCTTGAAGAAGCTCGTCTGCGGTCCACTGGTGATCTTCTGCACCGTCGGCATCACGTGCTGGTTGACGGCCGCCATCAGTAGCATGATGACGCCGAGCGTATAGAAGGGGGTGCCGAAGCCACCGAGCGCGAACAGGCCGCCCCAGATCGCCGGCGTCAACGCCAGCCCGATCGTTAGAGCAGAGCCCAGCAGCGCCACGACCCTGTTCACTTTACCGGGGAACTGGCTGCCAGCGATAGTGTAACCGCATACGGCAATGGCTGCTGAACCAGCCGCCTCCAGCAACCTCACTAAGAAACAGGCCGCCATGAAGGTAGATGTGTCCGCGATGTAGTTGAGCGTGCCAAAGACGACGGTAGAGACACCCGCAGCTGCTATGCCGAAGTTGTAGAGTCGAGTGATGCCGACAACGGGCGCCAACCGACCAATGAACGGGCTCATGATCATCTTTGCCACAGCGAAAACGCTGAAGAGGGAACTGATGACCGTCTGCGACACGCCTCTCGAAGCGGCCTCTACGGGGAAGAATGGGATCATGACAGCAATCAGCGAGCCGTTCAACATCCTCACGATCAGCAGGCTGGCCAACAGCTTCTTCTGAGCCGACGTCATGCCTGAGTTGTTTGCGGCACGCTGCTTGCCGCCTTCATTGGCAGGAGATCCATTGGTGTTATCTGGACTAGAAATGGATTCATAGCCGACATGCCCGTCCGATTCTGAACCTGAATCGGTCCTCCGCAACAGCAAGTTGTCGGTCTCCATGACACCTGCCTGGCGCTGACTACGTACTTCTATGCAGGTAAGCACTACCGACCAGCAGTACCGCCGGGCGGTTATCAGAGCCGCTTACAAGCAGCTTCCAAGGACACGTCGTAGGGTCCCACCGGCCTCCTCGCTTCTCAGCGCTGCCCAGTGCTAGTCCCAGCGCGACTGCACCCACATTTGTTGCACCAGACGCCGACTGCACCCACGTCTGCTGCACCAGGTGCTGAGTGCACCCACGTCTCCTGTGCCAAGCGCTGAGTGCATCCACGTCACCTGCACCATGCGCTGGCTGCGCCCACGTCTCCTGTGCCAAGCGCTGAGTGCATCCACGTCACCTGCACCATGCGCTGGCTGCGCCCACGTCTGCTACAGCAGGTGCTGACTGTTCCCACGTCTCCTGTGCCAAGTGCTGACTGTCCCCACGTCTGCTGCGCCAGGCGCTGACTGCACCCAGGTCTGGCTGACCCGCCCGCCGTCCGTCTGCCAGCAGAGCTGGCTGTGCACTGCCGCCGCCCGGCTCGCGCTCACCGTACGCATCCCCAGGCTTCACTTGGGCGCTGGCGAGTCAGTATTCATTACAGCCCGCCGGCCGGCCGGACTACCGCATGGCACGATATAAAACCGGTTTGTTTTTGCTCGGCAGTTGGCGGAGAGTGGCGGCTGCTACGCAAGCGGCGCAGTGTGCAGCCTGAGAATGATGCTTGACACGTGACTGTCGCGACACTCTGGTACGCTGCGCCTTTAATTCATGATGCTATTTTCCCTCTCTTTTAAGTGTTCATGCAATGGTTTCGCGTCCAGCAGATTGCAAAACGAATTTTTTGGATAGTCCTTAAAATCGTAAAAGCGAAAACAATGGCCGCCAACAGTTGTGCAGCAATTCCGATACGGGATCTTTTGAAAGCAATCATGTGAATATACTTCATATTATGTGTTACATTGACGGCGCTGCAAGGTGCACCTGTTTGTTGAGCTCACGAAGAATCGTGCCATATTGTGGCGAATATTCCAAAGAAACGCTGGGACGTTACTGAAACAAATTGGGCTAAAACACACAAACCCACGCACCAAAGCAAGCGCGGTGTTTCCTTGTTCACCGTCTGGTAGCCTGCAGTCCGAAGCGGGCATCATGGCTCAGGTATGGCTTTCACTTGTTTACCCAAAGAGGCACGTCTCCAGTTACTGTCATGGTGTGAGTGGGTGAAGTCTCACAAGGGCGTGTTTTTGTGTTGAAGGTATTCATGTTTCAGGAAAAAATATCTTTGAAAGCACGGTTGCTGCTGACTTGCCTTTGTTGGAAACAAGCCTTTTAAAGTTTGACTGTCCGCATCATTTTACACACGTGCGAAACGTATTACATCCCATTTTACAGCTACCCATGGCTGCGCACACATTTTAAAAAAAACGTAGCTGAAAAAAATGAAACAACTCGAGGGCAGCACGCGACATTTTAAAGATGTACATGCAAGTCAACCACCCACGCATTGTCCCGCGGCCAAACATGCAAAGTAGACCAGTACCATGCGATGCCTGCCGACATGATGCAGTGCGATGTCTGCCGACATGACGCAGTGCGATGCATGCCGACACGATGCAGTGCGACGCCTGCCGACATGATGCAGTGCGATGCCTGCCGACACGATGCAGTGCGACGCCTGCCGACATGATGCAGTGCGATGCGCGCCGACACGATGCAGTGCGAGCCTCACCGGTGATCCGACGTAGTTGCCCGTGCTTCCCAGGACGAAGTTGAGCGAGTGCTTTTCGCCGTAGCGCATCAGGATGTTCTGCACAGTGGAGCTGGCGCATTTGTGCGTCTTCAGAAAGAAGATAGAGTCCCGCGGCACGCAGTTGTCGCTGTCGTCCCCAGCCATTTTCGGTCCGTCGTCCCCAGCCATCGACAGGAGTTGCTGTGGGGGCGGGGGCAGGAGAGCCCTGCCGGGGCAGACAGGGCGTGGGGGAGAGAGCTCACGTGGCTGAAGCGGCAGGGTGGTGGTGTCACACCCATTAGGCGGTCCCGGTGGCGGGCCATGGCAAAGCCAAGCACCGCTGACATAACGTTAAGAGTTTTGGCTGCAGAATAGCATACTTTTCTGGCGTGGAAACCGTTGTCACCCACATTGCCCGCCGTCACCCACACTGCCCTTCGTCACCCACACTGCCCGTCGTCACCCACACTGCCCGTCGTCACCCACACTGCCCGTCGTCACCTACACTGCCCGTCGCTGACTGGTGTCGTGCAGATGTGAGTCACAGGCGTGTCGCGGGCTCTGAGTTAGCTCGGCCGCGAAGCGAAGTTCGTGAGCTCAGTGCCCGTGAGCTTGAACGCAGCGTCACAGCCTCATCTTTTACTTGCGGTCCTCTCACGACCGATATGGTCCGGACCAGGGCACGATAAGCAGCGGCGTCAGTGACCGGGTAATCGGTAAAGGGATGGCAGGTCCCATACGAAGGATGACCGTAGCCGTGCTGGTGTGACAGCGGGATGGGAACACACCCGGCGGCTACCAGACGTCGAGCGGCGCCGACGCAGCGGCCTCATGAGCACCCATGCGACACGCAGCGCGGCTAACTGTACACCTGTCTGCTTTCGTTCTCTCGTTCGACTAGCGGCTAGGGCTGTTTACAAGCCCCACCAGTCGGTGGCCTGCGGGGCGTCATCCGGTGTTTCGCCGCAGCGGCCGTGGATACTTGCAGGAATGGTTGTCACGGGTCGCGGCTGCGGCGAATGGCCGACTTGACAGGATCACCAGCGGATCCAGCCGTCGCTGAACGATCGACTCGCGCCGGGAAGAAACGCATCGAGAACGAGAAAAGGCTGTGGCTGGCTGCAATCTGGCGCGCAAGTTAGCAGATATGAAGCATAGGCCGCCTTCGACAAATGTAGTGACGCGACGTGCATCTTTCTGGGACAAGACTGAACAATGGAGGAGGTAATTGTACTTACGAATTCAGTGATCAATGCACAACGTATGCCACATGAATTACAACGCTCCCATTTCAGTAATTATGGACGTTTTCAGCATTTTGTCATTTTATCCCGGCTTAATGAGTGGAGAGATTTCTGGGACTAGTGCAACTTTAGGCAGCACGTATTGCGGGGAACCTTGACCCCGTCATCCGATCGTAAAATTTCAGGTCAAAGGCAGAATTTTGCGAAGATGAACGGCACGGCGTAGCGGCGCCACATTTTGCATAGCTGTAGACAACTGAATAGCGGATCGTGTGGAATCAAAAAATTGGATGTAATTTATAATGTCGCATATATCCATGTTTCAGAATGACTTTTGAATGTCGCGGCGTGGCCGTGCCAACATTTGCCTAGTTGTGGGCAATTAAATGGACAACATTTTCGCGCTGAATATTGGATGTACGTTGTAAGGTCACGGAATTATACCAGGTCAAATTCAGGCCATGGCTGTCAGCGAAGGCCATTTCCGAGGAATTGTTCGTTCTGATGCGACAACGGAGGGTTGGACAAAGCCATACATCTCTCAGGTATTTTTGTAGGCAACACAATTGAATTTAGAATTACAAGTTACATTGACCTGGGGTCAGGTATCAAGGTCACACCAAGGTCAAAGCTGGCCTGTTCTTTTTTACTCCAGAACTTGTTTTATGGGGTAGTTTCTATTGTCATTTCGAAGTTATTGATAACAGGGACCGCACTATACATAGCTCATAAACTTCATTAAGTCAGAGTAGTACATTTCCTTAAAGTGACCAAAGTCAACATTTCGTGTTATGAGTATACCGCCTCTCATATGCCCTCATGCTTATTGAACTTACAAAATATTAGCAATCTCGTAATTTTTTGGTCACCTTGACTTTCAAAAGGTAAACAAGGTCACTGAACTTAACTTTAAACCAACGACCGCTTGCTTAAAACAGGTATCTAGGTTAAAAACGGCTGTATGAGGAGGTCGGTGGTACTTTGGGACATCAATCTATAATTTGACCTGGTTTGGCCGATTTGGACCTTAAGGTCACGACCAAAGGACCTGAAATTTAGAAACAAGTGTGTTCACATTTACGTCAAACTACCCTGTGAAGTCTCAGGTTTCTAGCTCTCTTGGTTTTCAGATCTCAGGAGGGGGTCCAACTGATCCCCACCTGAAAGGAGGGAATTCAACCGGCCACCAGAACGCGTGTTAACTTATATAAACATATAAGGACTAAGATAAGCAAGTCAAATTTCAGTGTTAACTTAAACCAGCGGAGACCGAGTATGTACTGAACCGAACAGTGAACTAAGCTTTTTATCACAGTTAAATGTATTGCGACTTTGTCAGCTGTAACCTTCGTCAGTTACGATGGCCAGTTCGGGCAAAAATAAATTAAGCCTCCCACAGGCTTCAAGCAAAGCTGTCACATTATTCCATGCACAGCTAGATGTACAGCAACTTCTTCCAGCTAACGTCACTAGAGGTTGACAACTTATCTCTACCACTTAGGTAAAACGGCTCGTTCGAGGCTAGAAATTCCGCAGAGCTATCATTATGAAACTCTTTTTGATGGCAGTGCGGCGATGTAGGATAAACGTCATAGCAGTCGTGAAGCCCATTAACAGATTGAATCTTTTGTGGTACAGGTGTTCGCTTGCTGGCATTTTTGTTGGCATCCGAAGCATCCAACTACTACTGCTGCATAGAGAAGCTTAGGAAAATGGCGGCGAAATGTGTTGGTGACGCTTGGATGACGGCCTGGTTAACAATGCTTGTGGAATGCATATCATTGTGGCATTGGCGTCGTCGCCTTGCCTTGCGACGTACATACGCATGCACATACGTAAACACTCTTATCAAGCATGACGTATGGCTGGCAAGGAGTGACGGAAGACGCGCAAAAGTAGCGACACTGTTGCACGCTGTCTAGCAACCACTCGCGAAATCGTACAAACGCTAGGCAGGAGCTAGGCCACAGGTGACAGATGGTAGCTGTAACGGGCCCTGACGAGGGGAAGGACCCGATTAGCCCCGGATATGAGCGAGGCTGGGGTATGGAAGAACTTTAAGGGCTTTCTGTTTGATTGCGCACCGTGGACATTGAGACAGATCGTTGGAAACGATTTTGTGTCGATCTGGTGAAGTCGCAGTTAAGTGAACGATTTACATTGATGGCTGGCATTAGAATATTCCTTAAACTTTGGCCAGTAGGAGTGGTCAGACAAGTAAAATATTTATTTCGTTCATGGAGGTCTGGATGCGGTGGGAAACAGTCAGGTGGAATATAAATGTTTGCATGCTATTTTACGAATAAACACGGTGAGATGCAAAAAGAAGCAGACCTGACTTTGTACCATTTTTGTCAGCAACATTGTGAAACCACAACATGGACTCAATCGGATTACCATTGTCTGAAGAATACACGTCTTCCGGACAATTCCAACATGTTTAAAAGTGGACGGAACTTGACATGCTTCGACAAACCAAAGATGTTGTTTGGAATTAGTAAAAATTCAAGCATGTACAATGTGCCGTGACTCAGAGAAGACAATGGAGCACTTCACTTATCAAATTCTTGGGATCTGTTCCAGTCCAGTCCACCTAATCTAAATCCAATCCGCCCGCCATTACTCTTTCCACAGGCTTTTCAATATTGTCCGGTTCAGTCTGACTTACTCGAAATATTTATCAAATGAGTTCATGGCAATCCGCTTCCACATGACAGCGTTTTGCATTTTTACGGAAAATTTGCTTCATCATCAGATTATCGGCTTTTTCAAAATTATCATGCACGCATGCGACTTTCCACTGAGGAGTGCCGACGGCGCGTGCTCTTTCGTTCATGTGAATTAATTAACTGCATTTTTTTAATCTCGTTGCTAAAATGCCAGTTGCTCTCTGATTTTCCCATTCACTCATGCTGGAAAATGTGCCAAAGATATTTTTATTTGTAATCGTGCATCGCCCAGCTGCAACAACTTACATCTGTATAGTCAAAAGCAAATGTTGCGTCCCTATTGACAATAGTATGGCACCTTGCAGCTGTAGCTAACTAGCACGCTAGGAGAGGCACCATAAAATTATTTAGATGGCGCCGCGTTTTAATCAATCTGCTCGTGTGCTGTAAATGCTTCACATACAGACAGAGAGTCCTCCCATCTTCCCAAAAAGTGGTGCCAGAATAAAGTACTTGCTTATTGTCCTACACATGTGATGAGCTGTCGGCGCTTCAACCTCATATCTACATACTGGCCCTTTGGCAAACGCTTTGGTGATCGCACAGGCTACTCCAAATCTTACCATATCTTTATTCGAGGTGTGAATGGACTCTCTGGGGTGGCATGTTTAACCACATCTATTTCGCGACTTTCTGCGTGAACTGTGTGGGACATCTCAAGTAATACAGAAAATCACAGGCACGCAAATGCATTGCTGGCGTCCAATCTGTGCATACTTTATGCAAGCGGAAGCAGAATAGATGGGAAGTTTGAGGTTCCTGGTATGACCTTCGGGTCAAATGAGGTTAAAAAGTTAATACCCAGGCTGGTATCCTTAGGGCCCCTAGAACCTAGATAGCTGTTTTAAGCAGAAGGTCACATGCTCATTTAAGGTCAGTGACCTTGCTTGACCTCTTAAAGGCCATGGTGGCCATTAGGTCAGTGGTCTATTCCAACCTTTAGAAGTTCACGGAAGATGCATAATGCGGTTTCCGTTATCAATAATTTCGAAATGAGCACCAGAGACTATCCATACAGCAAGCCCTAGAGTGATAAAACAGGTTGGTTTCCATTACCTTTATACGCCCTTGAATCAGCAGTATTCAAATGTTGCCGCAATCTGCACTCTGTAAATACATCGATCTGCATTGCTTGCGTAGAAATGGGTCGCTAAACGCACCAGCTTTGTCCGGCCAAACTTGACTTTGTGATTTTTTTTTTACAACAGTTTGCATTTTTGGCTCTTTTCCATCCGCTACAACATTTGTTAACAATAATTAAAATAATTATTGAATATCATCGAGAATTTCTTCTTGAAAACGTATATCTCACCGAGGGCACTTCAACGCCACTTGGTTTTCATAATCGGCAAAATAGCTTCCGCCGTACCTTGGGCGAGTCGGCTCTCCTCCTCCCCCCCCCCCCCCTCCCCCCTGCCATGCCTATGATTGGTGTTAGCGGAGAGCTCGCCTGGAATCGGATCAAGGGGGTTCCGTCAGCCAGGCCGACAGCCGGTGGTAGCGCCCTCGCGCTGGGGTTGTGACACGCCCCTCCCCCTCCCCTGCCTCCCGGCCACAGCCGCTTTGGGGCGGTAGCTTCGTAATGCTTTGGGGTGCTGCGTCATATTCCCCGCCGCTGAGGTGTTGCGGCAGAACCTACACGGCAGCCGCGCGTCGCCTTCTGTCTGGACACGCGCCAGCTGTGGTGGTCCGCCGGCGTGGCTCGGCCAGCTGACAAGTGCGGTGTGCGGTGTGCGGTGTGACAAGCGCGGTTAGCACCACGCGTCAATGTGCTGAAGGGAGTGTGACGCTGGTCGGGGCCATGGTGAGGGCATGATGGGATCAGTGATGGGGTCAGCGATGGGGTCAGTGATGGGGTCGATGATCGGGGCCATGGTGAGGGCATGATGGGATCAGTGGTGGGGGTCATCGATGGGGTCAGTGATGGAGTCGATGATCGGGTCGATGATGGGGACATGATGGAGGCGATGATAGGTCACCGTTAGTGGTAATGATGGGGAGGAAATGTGGAGACAGTGGTGTGTCGAAACGAGCTAAGGAGAGAAAGGCCGAACAGAAAAGAAAGGTGAGAAGCTCTTAGCACGCAGCCTAACGATAATAAAAATAAATGAAAATATTGTGTTTTACTTTCCGCACGCCATTTTCTACACACGCATCGTGATTCTTCTTGAGTGACGGATAATCGTCGAAATTTACTTCCGAATATGTGAACTGTGTCCACAGCCAAAGCCTTAGTTGTCTTCACTAGTATTAGTCCATTGAACAAATTGTAATCGTGCCTATGCTAACGGAGCAAAAGTTTAACTTTGTTCCTTTCCTACTCCCGGCAATCTTTCACTCGGATAATTTCATTCCATCATTTCCATCCACCAGAACCTTCGGTGTGAATCGAGATATGACAGATGTTGCAACAACCAGCCGACTTTTCCCAAAACAGACGCCATCTCGGTATTGTTTAAGTGACAGATGTCCGCCTCAGCTGCCTTGCCGCAACGGCCTGCCGCCGCAACGGCCGCAACAGCAGCATCGTTACCCCCGCCAGCAACAGGCTCATGATAATCGTTTATACAGCGGCATATACGGAGACCTTGCGGCATATACAGAGATCATCTACAAAGGCATGCTCAAAATGATGTCCAAATAAAACCCAATGCCAGCTTTTTCGGAAAATTTCTGAATTAAACATTGCATGCTGTCAGCCTTTAGGACACGGTAATTGAAAGACTTGTGAGCTTTGTCGCTTCTCGCGGTAACACCGGTCTCTAACCAGCAAGCGAAAACGTCCAGCACGTGTGCATATGTTCTCCCTAGTCCCCTCCCTGGGCACACCACTGCTCAATCAACAAGTGTCCTCCCTGTGCTGGCGCCTGGCCGTGCCCCTGCCCACCTGTAGGCGTGGCTGGTCCGCTGGTCGCTGGCGAGCAGCAGCAGCATCAGCAGAACCAGCAGGCCGGCGACCAGCAGACCCACTGTCAGGGCACGTCTCATCAGCACCGCAGCCAGGCGTCCCTGCAACGACCCACGTGCAGGGCGTCAGCCCGCGAGTGATCAACACCCTCAACGGGGGCCGGACGCTGCGGACAACGTGGACCCCGCACCGGGGATCACAGCCTGTCCCGGCTCGGCTCCAGCCCGGGACACGGATGGCTCCGTGCCCACCAACGCCGACCTGCCGGGCACGGAGCCAGCTGGCGACGACAGCCAGCTGGCCGCACCAGACCGAAGCGACGCTAATGACAGACTTGGCCGCACTGGGCCGAAGTGGCGCCGATGACAGACCTGACCGCACCAGACCGAAGTGGCGCCGATGACGGACCTGACTGCACCAGACCGAAGCCAATGACAGACCTGACCGCACCAGACCGAAGTGGCGCCGATGATAGACCTGACTGCACCAGACCGAAGCCGATGACAGACCTGACCGCACCAGACCGAAGTGGCGCCGATGACAGACCTGACCGCACCAGACTGGAGCGACGCCGATGATAGACCTGACCGCACCAGACCGAAGCCGATGACACACCTGACCAAACCAGACCGAAGCCGATGACACACCTGACCACACCAGAATGATTGATCCGAGTGAGTTGCGGTTACAGGAGGTGCTCGGTCATCCGACAGGCAAGAGCGGTCCGTGATCGCTTTGACGTGCCGGAGAAGGCGCTCTTCACGTTATTTGGTTCGCCCAGTGATCTGATGCATCACGCGGCGTGCAGGCGCTTCTGCGCGGGCTCTCCTGGCGCCGGTTCTCGGGGCGGGAGGAAGACTGCAGTCCTCTCTGGCGCCGCCCGGCCCCAGCTCTGACCCCGTCACCCGGCGAGGCTGACCGCGCGGACTGGGCCCGCTGCCGTCACCAGCCGGGTGCTGCAGAGGACTCCACGGACTAGGCGTACCCAATCGGCAACGGGATTGGTTGGGTGCTTATTTTGGGAAAGTTACATGTAGGTGCGTTTATGGATAAGACGTTTCAGAAATGTCGGACAGATAGGTCTCGATCTATACCGCATATACATGGTATACATAGCATTTAATATATACGGTTTTCAACCTATACGGCTTGTTAGGCGTCCTATGTTCAATCTACACAACTATTGTAGTACTACTTCTTTCCAATGATCAACAAAAAAGAGAAACTTTGACTGTTAGCTTCTTGTGTTATGCGCTCCAAAACTATGAGATTCGGCGTAATGAGGAACCCTTGGATGATAATTTTGAAAACCCAAAGATAACTGTCATCACAGCATATGTGGATCAATTCACATACGCAAACTGAAACCACTACTAAATAGAAAATATATTATCCTGAGGACTATTGTAGTCTTCATCTGCACAAATCTCGTTCATTTTACGCTTCGTGATTTGTTGTAATTGGTTCGAGTGCAATATGCCAAATGTGTGCCGCTTCATCACGTGTGTGCTAGGAGAAAAACGCTGTCAACACTTGCTAGCATCTGGTGTCCGTTTCATATTTGAACTTTGCCATCCTATGAGTACAGTCCGTGACTGAACGCTTTTTGAGAAATACAGCCACTTACATAGAGCGTATATAATTATTGCAAAGAGGTTATGTTAATTCGCTTTAATAACATGCGACTTAAATCACATGAAAGGTATTGCTGATCCATTAACTATCTGGGAAAGGCGCCATCGTAATGCATTTTTTAAAGCTCTTTGGGAATTTCGCCTTTCTTCTTCTGCAATGTCTTGAATCTGCTAGCCGAACCCTGCTGTTTTCTGGCGGCACTTGCAATTTGCAAACCAGCGTTGAGACGAAAAGAAAATGTGGTAGTGTTGCAAAAACCGCCGAAATAGCCCTGTTTCTCTCAAATTACGGGAGATACAGCACCGAAATATCCCGTGTGCAAGGAAAATAGATTGAATTTAGCGCGGAAAACAGAACCACACTCCTCGTCACGTAGCTCATTTTTCACAACAGCTAAGCGAACCTTTCTGCTGAAACACACTTCTTAAAAGGGCACTGATTTCACACTGAGCACGCCTTCTGGTGGCCGGTTAACTTGCCCCCCCCCCCCAAGGTTTTCCAAAATGACCAGGGGTAAAAACGTGCCTTTTCTTTCACCGACCAAATTCAGAACCGTCTAGATTGTCATCTGGAGTCAAGTATTTCAGAAACTGTTGCAATATATCTCTAAATGCCTCGGTCCGTCCCGGTGGCTCAATTGATTAGAGCGCCTGCCTTCCGATCCACCCACCCGTGGCGGGGTGGGTTCGAGTCGCTTTAGGGCGCTCGCTATTTGCCCTTGACAGGCATGGCCTGCGGTAGGTGGCAGCGGTCGCGCTAAAGGTCAGTTGACGTCAGAGGGCAGGACGGACCGTGCCGAGCATTGTGGCACGTTAAGCTTTCGCCACCAAATTCTGGCGTTGATATGGAATTGTGCGATCGGATGGTAGGGGTCAGGGCTCACACAACAAGCACTGCTTAGCGTGAGCTCTGACCCCGGAAATCCATCCATTCAAAGGGTTCGGATCAAATTTTAAAAAGGCGACAAAGCACAAAAACAAGACAAGAAAGCAATGCGGTGTAACCATCAAAAATTTCTCTTTCGGGAGTTTATTGCACTTAAGTGCCATTTGCTGGCCGTCAAACATTAAATTATAGTTGAGACTACAGTATTGGAATAGTCGGGTAAAGAAATGATGATATAACTGGCTAAATGCGCGTAGTTCTCTTTTTAGTTGGAGAGGGCGGAATTGTACCTCCTAACCAGGGATGCAGTTTGCTATTTTTATGTATTATTTGTATCCATACATTCTCATTTCTCCCAAACTTGGGGGTTCAGCCCCTAAGAAAACCAACTTTGAAAAACTAAACCACCGCTCCTAACTGTGAAAAGAAAGTGCAGCAAATCTGTGAAGAAAGCTGTTCTGAGTGTATTTCGGAGGCAGCCTCAGCCGTTTTTATTGATGTACTCCTTACCCTTCCCTCCCTCACCCCTTTTTTGCAAAACCGCATCCCTGCCGTCCCACATTCACCGATAACATGGTCCTAAAAGCACCTGAATCAATATCACTGTTGGTTTTATGACGTCATAGAAGCATTAGCTGGAAGCGCTGGTGACCTTCACTTCTTTCCCACGACAATTATCAGTTCAGGACTCGCACTTCTCAACATGATTCAAGTCGCTTAGAGCAAAACCCATGCAATATTGGTATCACTAGATGCACACGACATTTTTGAACACCTTCAAGATCTTTATTTAGTTTTATTTGCAATATGATGACAATTTAAGGGTTTGATCTCACACATGTCTACCGATCAGTGCGATAAGTCTGACTATGCAATGGGCAGTGGAGAGACCTACACCAGCGATGCTCCGCTTATTACCTTAAAGCCGCTGCCCCTTCCAGCAGCAAGAAGTCCCAGATTAATGTTTAACGTGTGCCACTCCAACGTTCTCCTTCAACCTCTGAAGGTACAGCTCAGTTATCCGCAAACAACAATTCTTAATCGGCAGGGTTTCCAACGCTATTACCCTTAAAAACCGACGATTAGCTGCGTTTTTCCAACCAGTCAGCTTCTCGCGACATGACACAACCAACAGCAGCCCACAGCCGTGCGCTGAACTTAACACATTACCGCGCAATCGAGGCCATCTGCCTCAAATGGCACGAGCCACGACTTTTACGACTAGTAATAAACCTAGCTATTTGGTATTTTATACCATCTATTATGTGAAGTAACTCTTGACCGAAAAATATGTGAAAAACACTGATCTGAGGGGCATTGGAAAAGCATTGTGCCACCACTGACGCGTGACGTTAGCGCTGATATAGCATAGCTTGTGGTATGTTTCTGTCACCTGCTAAAAATTATCGCGATTAACGCTACTATGCTTAGCAGCACCTTATGGTTCAATTTGCTCATGCAGCGAAACACCAACGTTTCGACATGTGCTCTAAGCATTCTCACGCTGCAATCGTTAGGGAGTACAGGCCAATACCAAGCATAAACTTCCCTACAGCTGGAATGATCTATTGAAATACGGTCCGGTCTGTTGAAATTTGTTTTCAGTTTTGCACGGTGCTGCCGTAGCAAACTTTGCATAGCTGTAGAAAATCAAATAGTCTTTGTTATGTAAAAACTTTCAGTGTACATCGTAAGGTTACTGACCTACGGCAGGTCAAAGTCAGGCCATGGTAGTCAACGGAGGGCATTTCTAGGGAATCGTTCAACGGGGTGCAACAACGGGGTGTTAGATGAAGACATACATATCTCAGATAGTTTCGATGCAATTAAATATCCTAGCTTATCATTATCACCAATGTCATTGACTTAGGGTCAGGTACACTGCGAGGTCAGAACTGACCTGCGTTTTTACTCAAGAGCAGGGTTTTGTGGGGTAGTTTGTGGTGTTTTCATTTTTGTCATTTTTTCATTTCATTTCAAATGTATTCAGGACAATCCACAACAGGCATGTTTCATTGGCGTTTTTAAATTCACCTTAGGTCACTGATCTAAAATTATTAAGTCAGTATTTTGTTTTGAAATGACATGTTGCCTACAACAGGTATATAGGCTCCAGGCTTTGACATGATGAGATCTGAGGACATTTTTAGCATCAATCCGGAGCTTGACCTTGTTTGGCCCTATTTCACTTAAGGTCATTATCTGGGAACCTAAAACTTTGGCAAAAAAGAAATCACATACACAACTACGAAACCCGTGCATTTGGGATAACTTGCTTTCCTAGTTTGGGAATCTCAGGGTGTCAAATTAACCCCAGCCGAGAGCGTAGTATTCAAACGGCCAGCCAGGCGCGTGTTAAAAGGAATGTTCCACATTGGAGGATATTGCATCAATTATCAGATATGATGTCATAAGCTCGCTTATAACTATGGATATAGTTTAAGTGGAAACGACAGCTCCACACAGCACAATATTTTTTTGCTGTTAGTTAAACATGCTCTACAATGCGTCACTGTTTGATCATGTCATCGTACCTTGCACAGCATTGATTAGGAGTAAATTAATGGCCGTCATGTCTGTAAATGGTACATACGAACACCAGGTCTAGACGAATCGACAATTACATTTTTGACCTTGATCAAAGCATGGCAAATGAACTGAAAAATGGAATGCAATTTGAGCACTGCTGAGATTACCGTACCGCGTCCACAGCCCTTCCCCGCGATAGGGAAATGAGCATGGCTCTTTCCCCAGATGAGATCAGCGGGTATAACAAGCAGAGCAGCACAAGGTTCACCATGCAGCACCAGACATACAGAGAGCCATACACGCCTCCGATAATCAAGATTCACCTCAGCAGAGCAGGATCTGAACCAGCGCATGACGCTCCTCTGCTCCAACTTTGACGACGCCACTCCCCTCCGACCTTTCTTTCACTTCACTCACGCGCACCACCCGCACCGCTACCCAGCGCACTCCTCAGAGCACCACTCCTGGTGGAGCTCAGTTCACCACCTCGTGTAGCACGCTGGGCCGGCCACGCCGTGCACAGCTCCCGTGCTCGGCTCCCACTGGTGGCGCGCGATTCCTGCTGTAGTCTCAGGCAGCCTGCGGCGTACTGACAGCGGCGGAGGCGGCGGCGGCGGCGGGGAGGAGCCGGCGGCCGCCGTGGAGGAGAGGGGGCTGGCGGTGGCAGTGGAGGAGGAGCCGGCGGCGGCCGTGGAGGAGGAGGAAAGGAGGAGGAGGAGGAGGAGGAGGAGGAGAAAGAAGGGGAGCCGGCGGCAGCCTATCTCACTACGCTTGGTAGACGCTGTCCGTGAGTCCCGAGACAGGGCTCCCTGCTTGACGGAGCTTGGCTCCCGCTGCTGCAGCGGAGGGTGCCCGGGGCGTGGTGTTTAGGCGACCGCGTTCACCGCATGGTGCGGACTCGGGCTGACTACCCGGGGCTAAGAGTGACTACCCGTCTAGGAGTGGCTGCCTACCCGGCTGGAAGTTTTCATCCTCCCCGCGCACCGAAATCGGCGGAGATATTTTGATGCTGCATGACGTTAGCTGTTGGATGCGTTGATAAGCCCCAATATAGACAAAGCGTTGTCAAAAGAGGTCCACCACATATTTGCGAACAAAAGCCCATAAACACTGTCTCGCTCATCAGATGGCTGGCTTCGGAAGAGAAACAAATGTCACATGTTCCATTGTGTTAAAACGTCCCGGAAAGTGAGACGCTAACTTCCTTGAAGCCAAGCCCGCCATTGGTCAGAACAGAATTGATGTTGATTTGTACCAAAGGGAAGAGCGTAATAACCGTCGCTTGAGAAATGGAAAAACATACCTCAATGTCCACTGGGGCGCGGTAATTTTGGGCGATTTTCTTACATTTCCGTTAGAGCATAAAGGCTATCATCTTAAAAAGAAAACATTCGTTTCCGTCTGTCATGGATGGGCACTGCCAAATTTATCCAGAAGCCTCGACACAGGCTTGCCCATCCTTGAACAGCAGGCTGAGTGTCACTGGAAGCGCATGTTCATGATGCAGGGCGAACAACGCTGCATTGGTACGTTCCTACACCGCGTATACTCGTAACGCAGGAAGGACAATGCTGCAGTGGTACGTTTCTACACTGCGCTTTGTCGAAATCCTATCCTCTCGTTTATTATGCCAAAGAGCTCGCTTCTTTGGAATGATTTGACTCGTTTAGAATGCTAGACTCAAAATGGGATTTCTGTCACCTCATTTGAGGATGAAATTGATTATTACTGATTGCTGTTGCTTGTATGTCATAAAGTGTGACAGGTAACTTCACCCTCGTCGAAGTTTGTGGTTGCTATAGGCATAATCATGTTTATAACATCAATCGATTGTAGTCTAGACAGGCTGCAATAGCCGCATAAAGTTCATGGCTATATGCTTGTCTCCCACTCGTATTTCCGTCACCAGCATTGTTTATATATGACTAATGCCGGTGCTTACATTAGACTATACACGCCTCGGCATTGCCATTGTCGATGTAACCAAATATCTGTCAAAAGATAAGCACATTTCTCACCAGGTGGACCGGATTTGCAATCGTCACTCATGAACACACAATTGTGCTACTTTTATTATTCAGCCTGTTGCTGCATGCATTATAATTGGCCCAAATTCACAACCGATACAAGAATGGCTACATTATTTTCCCACGTATTTCAGCGTAGCAAAGGTTGGCAGCTAACTCCCAAACTGCCCGCTCATTACAAAGCCTAAATCCGTCTACGCTAGTTCTCATGCGCCGGGCATCACATATTGTGATAAGTCTTGATGAAATACCACCAGCTATATCTCACTACAGTCATCGGTTTGGTGCAGTAATGGGGCAGCCGCTGTCATAGGCGGCCCAACACACCGTCATTTATCCTGCATCTCCCAAAAAACATTCGTTCATATTCCTCGGGACAATGTATGGAGCTTAAACCGACTACAATTCGCGCAGATTTTGGGGAGAGGTCACAACCTCTCATAACGCCAGCTCAAATGGCTCGGAGCGAAGCTGACGAAGGTCAGCGGGGAAGACCGCCCCCCCCCCCTCCCCCCTCCCGCATGACAGTGCTGACCACCGCCGGAGCCCCTGTCCGTCACACGTCAGCCCACATCGTGTGCAGTCGCGAAAGAGTAGCGATTTATCAATGGTCGTAATGATGCAAAAGACCACAAATTAGTCATAACGACACTTGCGGAACGACCGTGCCATCCGCCGCGCCATCATCATTTGTTAGATCTTGGAGCACCAATTTATCGAGATGCGGTAGTAATTTCATCATCTATATATGCATATCTATAAATATAGACATGATCTACATATGTATCCATATATATCCATGTAATATATATATATATATATATATATATATATATATATATATATATAGGTGTATATGTATATAGGTGCGTTGATTAGCCCCAATATAGACAAAGACATATATATATATAGACATATATATATATATATATATATATATATATATAGGTGTGTATATATATATATAGGTGTATATATATATATATATATATATATATATATATATATATATATATATACATACCAATATCGACACCAGCCGGAGAAGACTCATCCCAGATCAATAGGCGGAATGTGATTAAGTGAGGGCAGAGGGTGTGATAAATGGAGGGCATGCCGGCGTGCCAGCCGCGGAGCCAGTCAAAGCACACTGAGCGCGGGGAGCGCCGGATGACGCGCCGAAAGTGTCACAGCTGCGCCAGATGTGGGGCGTCTTTGTCCAGACGTTTCTACCGCTATCGATTATTTCATGTTCCGACAAATGTGTTATTCGTGAAAGACGTCAGTCAGGTCAGGCCACTCAGACTGTGGGGACGAGTTCCCCCCCCCCCCCCCCACTCCCCCTTCCCCCGCCCCTCCCCAGAGAGCAGTTCAGCCCACTCAGATCAAAGATAGGAGCCTTCAGGCGCCAATTACTGGTGTCACGAGCACTACACTTTGAGGCCGAGCCAATGCGTATTCCAAGGATAAAGTTCGGGGGAGCAAAATCTTTGTTTTCATTAGTGGTGCGGAGCTCCTAATTGTTCGTGCCGCGTGACGCATGGACTTGTGGTCCATGAGGCAAGCACCAGTCTAGAAGCGCACCGTTTAAGCCTGCACGGGTTACTGAAGCAGTCCCACCACTTTGGGTTTGAACATATTGCCAGATTCATTTCAGATATATATATGTCAGCATACTTACATACATTCTCGTCTACATTTGATAATCGTACTCTTGTGCTTGCATAGTATTTCGTACATCTCAAGCTTTTAGTCGTTTCCAGACCTGGCCAGGGTAGAGAACTGCTTGCGGTGGTGGAACTGAGCTTGCGGAGTGAGCTTTGGCTTGTGGAGTCAGATGCTGAACCCTGCCCCCTACCATGCGATCGTAACATACCAGCCCAGAGGCAGAATTCGGTGCCGAAAGGTGAACGTGCCGCAATGCTCGGCGCGGTTCGTCCTCCCTCTGACGTCACATGGCCATCATGGCCTCTGGCGTCACATGGCCATCATGGCCTCTGACGTCACGTGACCATCATGGCCTCCGACGTCACATGGCCATCATGACCTCTGACGTCACGTGACCACCGGCGCGGCTGCTGCCACCGGCCGCAGGTCACGTCCGTCCGTCCGCCCCGCAGCGGCCCGCTGTATCGGAATGCGTGCGCTCTCACCAACTAACCCGATGGAACTGGCAATCATTAATCGTGCGAAACCGCCAGGAAATCGCTTAAATTGTGATTGGATTAAGCTCTGTCGGTTCGGTGATCCGCGGTGTCTCGCCCGGCCACCCGCTCATCCGAGGCCGCAGCTCTGGAGCTGCAGAGGTGTAAACTCTCGGCCACCCAGAGGGGTTCTACTACCGCGCTGCCGCCGCGTGGAACCAGCTGCCTCCGGCCGTCACTGGGCGTCCTGCACTGCCTGCGTTTCGTGAGTCACTGAGAACGCTGAGGTCTGAGAGCAGCTCGCTATGTGCTTGTCTGCATTTGCTTTTGGAAAACTCCACTGACAAAAAATTTTTACTGCGAAGTTTGTATGTGCTTATGGATTGCTCCCACCACTGTTGTCACTCTTTTTCCTGATTCTCGTCTGTCTTACCTTTACCTTGTATCTTTACCTTACCTTTTGTTTTATATCTTGCACATGATAACGCCAGTCCTGAAAAGTCATACTGCGTGAAAGAGCTGAAGATCCACTACAAGACAACTTGTCACGTAAATTCTGGGCAGAGCATTTGACCTTGGGCGGGTGCCAGATGCGGATGGGTCAAAGATTCACTTCAACACAACTTGTCATGTAAATTCCGGGCTGAACATTTGACCTTGGGCGGGTGCCAGCTGTGGGTGGGTCAAAGATTTACTTCAACACAACTTGTCATGTAAATTCCGGGCTGAGCATTTGACCTTGGGTGAGTGCCACATGTGGGTAGGTCAGAGATCCACTACAATACAATTTGTTATTAAAATTTCGGGCCGAGCATTTGACCTTGGGCGGGTGACGACTGCACTCAAGCGTGCAGTTGGCCAGTGATCAAAACTTTTCCCTCAGCTTTGGACGGAAGACCACACCTACGGGGGATGAGCGCAGCCGCATGACTTTTGTGAAGATGAGGCGCAGCCTCGTGGAACCCCAGAAGGGGGTTATCAATACACGTACGAATAGAAATGCTGGGATGTCAATTGGCTGTAGAAGTTCGCCGGCCTTAATTTCGTCAGGATGAAGTACGTACGCTATGAGCTTTGTAACATCAAAATTGATGATGTAAAAGATTGTGAATGACACACACGTGGTAAACGTCGCATCGGAAATAAATTCGTAACGAAAATTTTCGCACGCGAACGTTCGTTCGCAAATGTTCTTGGGGATTTTGCTCCTGCGACAAAAGTACCCACGTAAATGTTTGCATGCTGAATCCGGATGTAAGTACGCAGATGTTGCACGTAAACTTTCCTCACAAGTCAAGCTCAATTGGCAAGGTACGTACACTAAAGGTCCCATGCAGATGTGCACTGCAAGTTCAAACGCAGATTCCATTATTGGCGTAGGGCGT